CTTTAATAACAATGTCTGGGCGGTTGGCTTTGATTGTTCTGTCAGTGTGTATTGTGTAGTCCCATAGGATGGTAACAGGTCCTATCTCCGTAACCGGGTCTGGGTGGTGTTCATACCAGTTTCTTTCAGTTTCCTTCCCGTAGTGCAGATATTGACCCACTCTGTCATGCCGGGTTTTATATTCAGTGGGTGCCTGATACAAGATAATCAATCGTTTCTGGATATTTATCACAGAATCTGCATTTTGGGCTAACGCAGTATTTTAGTATATGTACTTGATAATTCCTAGTTAACAAGCATTGGTCCTGTGCAGCAAGGATAAAACCTTCAGTTTCACCTTTCAACCCTGCACTACGTAGCCACTGATGGGTACGGGTTTTGTCTATGTCAGCTTGGTTGGTACGGGCAGAGTATTGGCCATGAAGCGGTTTATCTTGCCATTGTTTCTGTATGTGTTCGGTTGCATTCGTCTTTGCTTTCTTTTTTTAAATATTTTGCATCTTCAGCCGGTGTACTGTGCTTTACTTGTATTTCTGCGCCCATTTGAAGCTCCATTTTGAATTTGTTGGCTTCCTTTATGACGGAGTAAAGACGCTTACTACTTTCATGTTCCTTGACACATACCATCATCCAGTCTTCTGTATTTTCCAAGTATCTTTGGAGGCCAATTGTTGTAGTTTTGTAGGACAGTTCTAGTTGAACTAATCCTTTTCCTCCTTCGGATCTGGGCACATACAGTCGATCAACTTTGGGATGATGCATGCGGTAGCAAGTGAGAAGCTTTCTCGTTTTGGCGTCCATTCGCTTAATTTCAGCTTTGGTCCAGTTAAGGATATTAAAGCTGTATTGCACCACAGGGACAGCCAAGGTGTTTATGGCTGATATTGTTTTTTGAGTTTAGCTCGGTATTTAGTACCAGACGTACACGCCTGTAGTACTCCTTTCTTACTTTCTCCTTTATTTGCGGGTATAATATGCCATTTCCTTCGCTAATTCCTAGGTACTTATAAACTTCATCATGCTTCAGTTCACTAATCTTTGTGACAAAATCTAAATCTATTAAAGGTATTTCTGTAATTCTACCTTTCTTGAATGTTACTTTTGCACATTTATCTAATCCGAAGTTCATACCTATGTCGTCACTGAAGTATTTTACAATATTGAGGAGGCCCTTGAACTCATTGTCGTCTTTGGCAAAGAGTTTGAGATCATCCATGTAGAGTAGGTGATTGAATATTTTCTTATTTATTTTGTAACCATAGCTACTGTTGTTCAGTTCATGTGTAAGAGGGATTAAGGATAAACAAAACAGAAGGGGTGACAGAGAGTTTCCTTGAAAGATTCCACGTCGGATATTTAGTCGGTTGGATATGGAGGTGCCTCTGGTGTCACTAAGGTATAGTTTGGTGTTCCACATTCCCATGCTGTGCTTAAGGAAATTTAATACCACAGGGGAGACTTTGTACATTTCCAAAGTCTTAAGGATCCAAGAATGTGGACACTATCAAAGGCTTTACGATAATCAATCCACGCTGCGCTAAGATTTCTACGTCTGCAATTTTCCAGGATCATTTTATATATCAGTATTTGATCTTTGCAGCCATATGAACTTCTCCTACATCCCTTCTGTCCCAGCGGAAGAATGCTGTTTGTTTCGAAAAAGAAATAATTACTGTTCGTCAGGACAGACGTGATCAACTTATAAGTTGTGGAGAGACATGTTATCGGTCTATAATTTTTCGGATCGTCTGTTTCAGTTGTTTTTGGTATGAGGTATGTAATACCTTCAGTAATACATTCTGGGATTTTATTGGGATTATTTATTTGATAATGTTTTTGCAAGGATTTTATGGATAGATTATTATTATTATTACTATTATTTTTATTTTCTTTGATTTCTGGCGTTTTCACATTTCTTTCCTGGTCCCGCCCAGGGACCTAAGGTTAGAGATGGTATCATGGCACTTTCCACTGACAAAAGAAAAAAATAGATAAAGCCCTTCGTAAAGTGTGGGCTGTACTTGTCAGAACCATTTTTTGTATCTCCTTGAGGCATGGACTTCCAGGAATCCCTTCAATTAGTCTACTGCAATCTTTTCCAACCAGTCCTAGGGATCCAACTACAACAGGGATTGTTGATGTTCCCATATGCCACATTTTCGAGATTTCTATTTCAAGGTCCTTGTATTTTGACAGCCTTTTGAATATCTTCAAAGATACATTGCATTATTATTACTATTATTATTATTATTATTATCATCATCATCATTCGATTTCTGCTATGGACACACTACCTACCAAGTCTGCGGAAAGACCTAAGGCAGGTCGTGGTGTGTTGTTATGGCCACATTTCATGTTATTTTTTTTTTTTTTTTTTTTTTTTTATCTCCGATGAAGTTGCTAGCGTTACATAGACAAAGTTCTCCTTAGTGTGTGTGCTGTACTTAATAAGACAATTTTCTGTATGTCTCTTAAGCTGGGGTTTCAGGGATTCTTTCAATGTGTTGTTTTGTTCCATTTTTATAATTCAAGTGCACCTATTACCACTGGTATTATTCTTGTTTTCAATTTCCACATTTTTTTCTATTTCAATTTCCAGGTCTTTGTATTTTGATAGTTTTTCAAATTCCTTGGTTGCTATGTTACAATCCGCTGGACAAGCCATATCAATTAGTAGGCAAGTTTTTTCTTTCTTTTATTATTATTATTATTATTATTATTATTATTATTATTATTATTATTATTATTATTTCCTTTGATTTCTGGTGTGTACACATTTCTTTCCGGGTCACGCCCAGAGATCTGAGGTTAGAAATGGCATTATGACTTTTTCCACTAATCAATTAAAAAAAAAAACAAGCAAAAAAACACACACATATTTTACATAGATAAAGCCCTTCGTAAGGTGTGAACTGTACTCGTGAGAACAATTTATTATTATTATTATTATTATTATTGGTCAACACAATTTTATTATTATTATGGGTCAACATAAATTTTATTATAATCATTATCATTATTATTATTATTATTATTGGTCAACAAATCTTTATTATAATGATTATTCATATAATAATTCACTGTATTTACATGTTGATGCCAAAAGTATATGGTGGGTATGTCTAAGGATTGAGTGAGAAAGAACAAATTTTCACTATTTTACTCAGTATTCTTTTCGACTATGACACTGCCGTAGCATTTCGAATCCCAACCCATCCATTTAAAGTTTGAATTTATTGAAATCGACATCTAATTTATAAGGAACACATCCGAGTTCATTAATGATTATAAATACGATGCTCACTGTCATCTTTCATAGTCTGGCCTATTTCTATTTTTTCTATTTCTTTCATCGTCATCTTGTGGGCTAGCGGAATAGTCACTTCTACGATTTGAGAGAATCTCTATTTCTTATTCACGACAACCAACTCAAGCCTCCTTCTTGAGGCAGTATAATATATCCGAATCACAAAATTCCAGAGCATATTATTTTTAATTTTTTACAAGATAGTGTTTTCTTTGTATTTATGAAATATCTCTAACTATAATTTGCTTGATGCGTGTGTTATTTTTTTTTACTTTTTTCTTTCTTCACATAAATATCTTGCACTGTCTTATAATTCCACATTTGTAAACAAAGCATTTTTTCCGAAAAACAAAAAAAAAATGAATTAGAGTTTTATATTCAAAGCTAACCATAAATTAAAAACATAGCAATATATTGTGTATTAGACATACTTCTTACTGGATTTTCATATTTTTTCGCAACTGCGTCCTGGGTGTGACGATAAACTACGTCCAACAGCAAGGCCTCAGATAATGTTTTCGGAAAAATAATGTTGCCAGCTATACGTTTTTGAAACAATAATGTTGCCAGCTATATGTTTTTGAAACAATAATGTTGCCAGTTATATGTTTTTGAAACTATAATGTTGCCAGCTGTACGTTTTTGAAACAATAATGTTGCCAGCTATATGTTTTTGAAACAATAATGTTGCCAGCTATACGTTTTTGAAAAAATAATGTTGCCAGCTATACGTTTTTGAAACAATAATGTTGCCAGCTATGCGTTTTTGAAAAATAACGTTGCCAGCTATACGTTTAATAGTACTGTATATTTAATATATGTATAGGTATATATATATGTATGTGTATGTATATATATATAACTTAATTTGGCATTAAATGACCTACAGTGGTTGATATGCCATAAAACCCAACCAACCAACCATTTTTCGCAACTGTTGTAGAGTAGCTAGAACTCCTTCAGCACTCTGCCAGATGAACTGGCTCATAGCCTTAAATAGTCTACGATTAAAGACTTCAACAGTTAATTAATAAGTTGATTAATAAGTTGATACTAAGCTGATTAATATTCGGACAGACGTTACTTCGTTTGGCTATACAGCATTTCACCCTCCTTTATTCCTTGTAAGTTGTCTTGTTACCTGTTTTGTAACTTATTGTTCTGTGTTTTTTGTATGCATCCGTTAGCACCGGATACTGGTGCTGAATATATTAAGCACTCATTCTTTGTGTATCATTCACCTCGGCGATACAACAACAACCCATTTGTATACCCTGATCATGTCGCTTATTTTACGATTTCTTTTCTATATGAAAGGAAATAATATTTTTCCTATAAGGTGGAAGCTACAAATATTATTTTTAAAGAGTGTCATATAGTTTTAAAGATTTATTACAAGAAGCAGAAGTAACTATAGTTGGAAGCGTTGTCCAAAAGAAGGAATCAAATCAACTAATGTGGAAACACGAGGAAAGCGAACAATGATTTTCTAGTCATCGTGATAATTAGTTCATTGAATATTATGCAATATTTCCCATTATAAATGCACATTTCTTTAATGGTTTCCTTTAGGCATCGATATATCGGTTATACCAATTGTATTTATAGGGATTAGTACTTGTACAGACATGTTTATTTGAGTATTCTTTGTGATATCACGAATATGCTTTAAACGTTAATATATACTCTGCAGTATCTATCTATCTATCTATCTATCTATCTATCTATCTATCTATCTATCTATCTATCAGTATCGATAAAGAGAGAGAGATAGAGAGAATGAGATAGAGAGATAAGTCTTTTCAAATTTTCCTTATCTCTATTGTTGTACCCTTTTAATACTAAGCGCTTTATTTACTGTTGTGGTAAACCCTCCTACAGTAGAATGAACTGTTCCTCCTCTCATAAATACTAATTGCGAGAGTCAATTGGGCAGAGCAGAGGCAGTGCTAACCTACCGTTCGGGCGTACACAATTATCTACTTATTACTAACACTCTTGCTTTGTATATATCTTCAATATACTTGTTAAACCTACCTTCGTCTTCCGTGTCTTTCTTTCTGGCTCATAAACAGACCACAACATTTACAAAATCTGCTTGATAGATATACAGAAACATAGATGTAATGGTGATTTGAAAAGGTCGAGATAAATAGATAGATCAGGACATAGATAGATGTAATTGTAATTTGAATAGGTTGATATATATATATATATATATATATATATATATATATATATATATATGCAATCCCTCTTTTATACAACTATCAGTAAAAACATCTGAAAAGGGTACTGTGGTTAATTTTTTCATTTATTTTTTCTTTAAAACTTAACCACAGTACCTTGTCAGGCGTTTTTTTTTAATCAAATATATATATATATATATATATATATATATATATATATATATATATATATATATATATATATATAAGAGAGATAGATAGATAGATAAAGATGAGATAGATAGATAGATAGATAGATAGATAGATAGATAGATAGATGTCATAGTGATTTGGACTTGTTGGGATCAATAGATAGATGTAATGATGATTTTAATAGGTTGAGATGAATAGATAGATGTAATGATGATTTGAACAGCTTTACATAGATAGATAGGTAGATAGATAGATCGATAGATAGATAGATAGATAGATAGATAGATAGATGTAATGATGATTTGAACAGGTTGAGATAAACACACACACACACACACACACATACACATATATATATATTGATATAGCACGAAAGTATACAGAAAACAGTTTTCACCAATATGTTGCCATGCAAAATAATTACAACTGATATAACCTGTGAAACATTTATATGGTGTTAATAAATCATATTTTAATTTTCTTTAATTCCATATTATGTCTTGGCATCTATTCATTGTATTTTGAGAGATGCAGAATACATATCGAAAGCGACAATAAACGTATATCAGCCGTGATCAGTGCCAAAGGAACATGAATTAAACATCGATTAAGAGGGCTGAATACTTCAGCTAAGGCCATTATAATAAAGTATTCATAATTATGATAGATTATCAGTTCACTTATTTATGTATATTTTTCTTCTTTTTGTCGTGTCACTTCAAGACGCGGAGGATCATGGCTCTCCATTACTTCCCATCGTTCGTAGTTCTAAGCAATACTTTTCCCTATACTATCTCTCTCGGTTCTTGTTCGGTCATCCATTTACGTATGCCCCTTAGGTAGATTAATGACCGATTCCTTCTGACCCACTATCCTTGTGAGTATCAAATTTTCCATGTCCTCTTTATTATATATAACAGAAATTTCAAATATTTTTCTAATCCTAAGCACAAACCTCCTCTTCGTTCCTATTTACGTTAAAACTTCTCTGTTGTTCCCATGTTTCATTCATGTTGTTTCAGAAATCTTCTGTAGAATCACATACCTGTTACTTCAACTCTCCGCTTCATTTCTAAGGAAATAGTTCACTATTCACTGTTAATTAAGAAGGTTGATATGCCACAGTTCAGTGCGTTTTTCTTTGTTTCTAACGAAGATTTCATGTTTTTTAATACGTAGTTTAGCTTCTGGAAGGCATTTTTGCTATGCGCCTTCTGATTTCTAAGGCTCTATAGATAAATGTAATCGAATCAAGTTATCAGAATAATCATCTACTTTTGCGTACAACGCTATAAATAATCGAAACACACTGACTGTAATCGCGTTTTCACGTTTATTCACAACCAAATATGTCAGTAAGTGTCATTGAAAGCCTGTTTTATTCAATCTCACACTTTTGGCCAAATCAAGATCAGTTTAGGAAATATTATACAAGTCAGTGTTTGTAAGTATCTATAAATATAACTTCATTAAAGACAGTGTACTTATATATCCGTCCTGGGTATGACGATAAAATAAATCCGGCAGCATTGCCTATGATCAGGAGTTTTTGAGGAGCGTAGAACCACTTCTTAATTGCTGTTGTTGTCAGGTCCACGCTGACTCGGGATGGTCTCTTGTTAGGTTTCCAAATTGAGAAAATATTTAATCCCTAAACTGGGTTCATAAAAATAAAAAAGTATAAAAATACATTTTTATAGTAAAAATACCAGCAATACATTAATAAAAAAATTACAGCAATACACTTTTTGCAAAATAAATTACTAATGCTCGCAAGAAAATTAGATTTCGGCATTAAATGACCCATAAGGATCTGATATGCTGCTAATAAAACAAGCAAACTTATTATATACACCCATGGTTTATGTCCATGTCAGATTGAACCACCGGTTTTCGTCCGATCACCGATGTTAAGGAAAGTTGATCCTGGTCAGTACCAAGATGGGTGACCGCTTATAAATTCCAGGTGCCGTAAGCTTGGGTGTGCGAGTGGTGTAATTAATAACAGGTCGGAATGAGAAATCAGAGAGCCGAGTTCGAATTTCAGTTGGGTTTGTTACGTTCACTTACGCACAAATAGCCTTGAGAAAAGGTATGAGTCCACATCTTCTCCTCCCATTCATGGGTTAATTAGTCAGAGTTTTATCTGAAAATCATTATCTCCAAAACTGGTAATGCAATATTCACTCGCAAAAAGTATTTATTCTTACAATGCAAAATGTTTCCGCTTTAAATAACATATAAAAGGTTGATAAACTATAAAGAAAACAAATCAACCAATCAATATAGATACCTTTACAACTATTGTGAGTTTCACTGAGTACCCTACACATGCAGTCTTGTTACACGATAAGCTTAGCTGAAAATGATTTTAAATGCGAAAGAAATATCTTTAAAACGTAAAACGATTCTAAGACAAGCGGCATTTTTATTGACATTATATTATTTTCATTAAAGATCCATATTTCAGTTATTTAATTGTATTAGAAAATCTTTTAATAAATTCAGCTCCTGATATAATTAGAACAGGAAAATTCCTAGTGAATTTCAAGAATTAGTTAAATTTCTGCGCTTTAAAAAAATGGCAGTGCATCAGACGCTCAAATTCTAATTGATTTTCCATAGTAAAATCTTTAATCACTTAAAAATTTAAACACAAGTATCTCCATTTTTATATATCAGGCAAAAAATATATTTTATATAAGAATATTCCCCAATTTTTCTTCTTTCAAATGGTATATAATTATGTAAAATTGAATGAAATCTTATACATGAGATTCAGATATATGCTTGGTAATTGTTGTCAATCTTACAAAGCACGCGTGACTGCCTTAAGCAATATTTTTCAGTGTTATTTTTAAGCTAGAAAATTGTGAGTTTCTTTGGTGAATATGTCTTTCGCTAAATATTTCCCTTTCTGTATGTTTTTCTTTCCTTTCATTCCCCCCTTCTTATTCGCTGATCTACTTCAATGTTCCTTTAAAGTATAGAAGATAGGAGATGGTACTGCACATGCGCACACTTGTATATGACATTGATATGACGAAAAGCTAACAACGGCGTTCCACCGATTGGAGATGTGATGTGTAAGTCTACATCGCTTTACATTTTGAAGAGCACTCAGTCGAAACTATCCGTCGGGAACTTTCCAAACCGCCTCGGTCATAATACAGAAAATTCTCCACCCCCACCATTTCCATAGCCTCGGTATCTTGTTCAACCACCATTAAAAACAACCCAGAAGGTGAAATTTTAAAAGAAGAAATTATTTGAAAAGAGTTTCTACCAATAAAAGACTTCAAGTATGAAAACTTATAACTGATTCTGCTCTAGAACAATAGCTCATCGTGTTATTTTTTTTATCTTCAACTTGTGCTTAGCTTGTTCTAGTTTTACAGTATTCTTTAAGATATTTTAATTCATATGAGAAGCAGACTGTTGTATTAGGTTGAGTCATAAGTAATTTCCGGTTTTGTGAACCAATCGTAATAGCGAATGTATCGTCCTAAATACTAACCAGACGAGGAAGTTAAGAATAAATTTCAAGTAACCGTAGTTCTTGAATGGCAGCATACACGGTGGATCAAAAGAAAAATATTGTTTACCTTCATAACAACGCAAGGTTACATACGCTAAAAAAGACAAAGGAATTTTTGGAATCGGTTCGTCTGTTTTACTCCACCAGCTATGTTCAACTGACTTTGCACCAATCAATTATTACCATTACTGATTACTGATAAAACGCTTTCTCTCATGAAAAACATATTCAAGAGTTTATCGGAAACATTTTTCACATCAAAACCTACGGAATTTCACTCAAAAGTTATCGACAAGCTGCCTCATAAGTCGTAACAGGACATTGCAAAAAAACGATGAATATGCAACTGAATAAAATTTAATTCCGCTTTATTTATTGAAGAAGAATTATGATAAATAAAATCGAAAATTATTTACATCTCAACCTAATACTTGTAATGCATGTTCAAGAGCTTGATTAAACTGACTATATCGCATTTACTAGAAACCGGTCTGCAAATGACGCATTATTGGACTCACAATTATTATTACAATTACTAAGCGTTGCGTCAATCATCATCATCGACCAGGTGTAGCATATTTTGGGTAAGGTAGACCTGGTGGAAGTTATACCTCTCCAGTTATCAATTATAGATAGATTATTTTGCGTATAATTGGTTCTGTTTTATTCACTAATGCCCTTAGAAGAAGCATAAATCCATCTATGACCCAGCTAACTAACTAATCTGGATGGTAGCTAGTTTAGGAGAAGGAAAGCTGTCCATTCAGAAGTAAAAAAAATATGGTAGTTTGGGCCTAGGTAGGGCAACCAGTTCAGAACAAGACAAATCTGAATTCAAAATTAGTCTAAAGTGGTGTTTACGGCCACATCATGTTGAAACACCGGTTCTCGTATGATCACCGAAGTTAAGCAACATCGAGCCTGGTCAGTAATTACGTGAATGGCCTCTTGTGAATAGATGTGTGGTGGTGTAATGGATAATGGCTCGGAATTGTTAATCGGAGATATGAGTTTCAATTCCCGTTGGGTTCGTTGTATTCAAATACCTTTGGGAAAGCTATGAATCCACTTCTTCTCCTTCAGTTATGGGATATAATTAGTAAGACTTGCATCACTAAATCATTATTATGTCAGAAAAATTCTTACAATCGAAAACAATTTCTGGCTTTAAATAACCTGCAAAGGGTTAATAAGCCGTAGAAAACGAATGAATGAATGAATTAATTAATTAATCAGTGGGATTAATTACCTGGCTCTCAACTCAACAATAGCTTCTTTAGCCGCAGTACAGATGATACATAAACGACCTTAATTGGTGGCTTGTAATTGGGACAACAATTAGTACTTTTAGGAAAAAGTGTGTAAATTGCTCTCACGAGTAACACATTATTTATTATCTCTCAGTTGCATCTCTGTCTTTGGGCAGAGTGCAATTAGGGGTGACTCCGTCAAAGGACAGAGTCGCAACTAAGGAAAATTATACTGAGAGAACAGCTGCCCGAAACCGCGAACTCTCATTGCATCCGAGAGAGGAATCGATGCTCTCACCGATGCCAGCGCAACAGTTTTTGTTTCTAGCCCTGGTGTACGCGCTCGGGTCCCCACTTTAAAATTTGACCTTGTGTCACAACTTGTCTTAGTAGGGAGACAGAGTAAACACCTAGTATTTCTAGGAAATGAAAGCTTCAAGTCTCATGAAAAGATAACTTTCTTTTGATTCCTCATTATTTCGAACTTCATGTACTAATTAGACTAATATACTCATTTTGAATATATTAATGTTTCGACTGATGCGGTGGTTGGCCTTTAGGACTCATTAAACTTCGTCCTTCATTGATTTAGCTATCCTTCGCTCCAACTCCGATTAAAACAATTCACGTATCAAAACATGAAAAAGTTAAATGCACCAAGAAAATTTGTAACTCGTAAAAGGAAATTATTCCAATTTGACAAAATTAAGCGGTAAAATGTGGAAGCAAACTGGAATTGTAACGTAAATTATTGCCGGGATAAAAATAAAAATGCGTTTCAAAAGAAAAACCGGGGAACGCAACGACTGGAAAATTGTAACAGAACAGAAAAAAATAGTTATAATTGCCAAAATAATAAATTATTTGTCTTTTATGATAGGAACAGCTGAAAACAACTTTTACATTAAAGCTCCGTATGGTATTCGAGCTTATTTTATGTGATGGTCAAATTGTTCTCTTTTGGATATCTATCTTCTTGACATAAGTCATCATGTATGATCTTTCAAAAACAACAGTTATTAAATATTTGTTTGTTTAACCAGCTTATATTTTATCGATATACAAAATAAAATAAGGGAATCTAAAAGTTTATTTGTTGATAAATGGCAACATGTATTTGTACAATGGAAGACGGTTCATTCTGCACAGATCTAAATAAAGTGAAATCCATTTGCGTGAAATATCCTCATTTTCAAAGTCTCAAATTATTAGCTACATTGTAAATATGAAGCTTTAAAATATATTGTAAGACTAACTTGGCAGATAAAAAGATATGTTCAATAACTTTAGAGCTTACAAAAGTTAAAACAAAACGGCAATTTAAAAAATGACCTAACTGTGAAAAATCTGTTGACAATCCAAGAGGACGTCGATTCATGTATGATAAAGGCACTTAGAGGCAATTCATGCAGATTTGTGTCCTGTATCAAGAGAAAACTTATACAAAACCGACTTTGGCAACTGTGAACGTTTTAGGAGTCGTGAACTCATAGAGAGTTCCAGATGGTGTTCTGACGACAGTTAATACATAGACTGATTTTGAAAGCACGTGTGGAGTCATAATTCAAGAAGATGCCTAAACACTTTCATAAAAGAATTGAATCCACTAAAAAATGGTTCTGTGTTCATATTTTCACAATTTGTATAGTTAATATTAACTATTGCCGGTTAAAGTGAACATTAAGTCACGTATTTCTCTTTGTGATCTGAGAATAGATAATATGGTTGTTAAATATTATATAAATTTCCCCATTTTTACCAAAAAGTGGCGGATTATGTTACTGTTTTTAATCTGCTATTCAAAATGTTGTTTTAATATGATAGAATTGATAGATTTTAAGAAATTGTGAAAGTGTCAAAGGAATTAAAAGAAAAACACTTTTCTCTTAAGTACATGTACTCAACAAGCATGTCTTCATCGTGAAGGCTTATTTAAATTGACGTCCGCATCGAGGCATCTCTACACGCAAGTATTCATTAGAAAATTGTGCACAGGTAAAAGAAAATCTCGCTATTCAATTGGTGCAAATAAATTTCTCTTTGTCGGTAAAAAGAAACGGTGGGAAATACTTTTGACGTATAAAGACGAATGAAATTAAGGGAAGATAGCTGAATGAATATAAAAGACATCAATGCCTTGGGCTCTTGTAAATATATAATTATAAAACGTACTTATTTCAAAATCGTTGAAGAAAATGCGTTCGTAATCAAAATAGTATTGTAATTCGTAAAAATAAAATGCTCTGAAGTTGCCGGAAAACGCTTTAAATATTCCAATCAAAAACAAAGAAATGGTGTCGTACGAATATCATGCATAATACATGCAATACGATATTTAATCAATTTTTGACGACAACTCACTTTGACAAAGGTATTAAATATTTGAATTATTCTGCGCTGTTGGCTGTGAAAATGTATCGGCAATAATATAGAAACCTATGAAGCTGTTTTAAATAAGAAGACTACACATTTAAGCAACAGAATATAAAAAACATATAGTATTATGAATATGTTGGTAGGTGAAGAAGCAGATAGCTATTTATTTTAATGAATTATTTACTTGCACGTATGCCAATATTGAAAACGACTAATAACATCGGTAATAAGAACTCGATTAAACAGAATGCAAAATATTCAAAATACAATTACGAAAATTAAAGATTTAAATGAAAATATGCGTATTAAACTATTTTTAGAATCTCTATGTAGATATGTAATTGCAACGTAAAATGATCTCCCAAAACCTTCTTGAAGCAATTTTTAGGACATTAAACTAGACATGATGAGAATCAACACCGAAATATAGTCAAAATATATCCTGGGATTGATGTGGATATAAATAGAAATATTATAAAGGTCAACACGATTTTTGGTGCCAAAAAACAAAACACATTTTTTGGTTAATTTGATGGTGTTGATTCCGAAATTGACCTTAGTTTTGCAGGGTTAGCTACCATTTTGGCTGTACTGAAATTGCTCATTTTTGGAAAATAGATCAATTTACGATCTTAGGTGATCTCAAAATATAGTTAATAAAGGTCGTAAAAATCCATCAATTTTCAGGTAGGCCGAGTAATTTATGCCAGCCACCTGAAATAAGCTATTTTTATGTGTTTTTAAGTCAAAGATTTTAAAATAGAAGGATCAAATTATCTGATAAACGTTATCAGTAATACACTTTAGTAAACCTGGTAATTAAAGAACATCAAAAAATGAAACCTTAAAGTCTTCTGATTGATATTCATAAATTCATCCCTTCACTACGGAAAGAAACCAAGCCGATTCAGAGCATTTTGTTTTCATAGTTGGACAGAAACTCCAACTAAAGACATCCCAATTGACTGCACCTATTCCATTGTACATGATACTGCTGGAGTATCAAAAGGGACTTAAATAACATTGAACTTGACAGACAATGAAGAAAGAGAAAAATTTTACCATAGTTTTATGTTCACGAAGGTTTTATTTTTGCACTGAGTTTATTAAATGATTTGCTGAAAATATTTGTTGGTCTTGGTATATTCAATCGTGTTATTTTTAAAGACTTGGAGTCTGATTGTTATTGCAAAAATAGTATTTCTCAATAAGCAGGCAATATTTGTTGGTTTAAATTTGAATTGAGAGGTTTCTACGATTTTATTTTGAGAAATATTGCCATCGGTCAATATCATATATACAGAAAACAAATGAAAAATGCTTTTTTCCCAAAATGAAGCATTTCTGAATAACAAAAACGGTAGCTATTCAAGAAAAAGTATGGTCATTTTCAGATTCAGTGCCTTCAAATTAGCTAAAAAAAAGATGTTTTCTGCCTCGACACGATTTCAAAATTGTTGTTTTTCGTTGACCAGTGTTATTAAAACAATATTTGTTAGCAGAATATTTGATATCTATAAGCATATTTATCCGAGTTGCTTTCATTATGTTTATCAGAGTTGTGATAAAAGCTCACAAATATAAATATTTATTAATGTTCTTTTTAGAAGGTTTATAAATAATATGTATATCTGACCTAGCTTGAACAGCTAAGTGGGGTAATAAATGGCTTGTAACATTCATTAGATCCAAAACTAAGCTAATAGCTTTTCATCATCACTGAACAGGACGTGAACGGTTGTACTCCCAATGAGACTCCTTACCTTGAGCGTTTATTAGGATACAAGCTCACTGCAGACCTCAAGTGAAAGTTGGATATACGACCCGTTGCGAAAGAAGCTGGAAAAATATCCCGCCATAGAAAGTAATGGAATCTTTCTGTTATACTCGATCTTTACAAGTATTAGTTCAGGCAGAAAATAAGCTGGAGCTACTAGGTCATCACTTTCCATCCTTACGCGGCCTTGTGGGTGATGCATTATTTTCCTCCCTAGAAAACATTTCCAACGGACGAAACATTACTAGCCTCTTGCTATTCTATCGTTATTTTTATCGCAAATGTTCAGATAAGCTACATTTCTTAGTTCCATCACTTCAGACCTTTACAGCTAGTACCCACCATGCCATGCATAGAGATTTGACTCATCCTGATTCAATTAGCATTCCATTATTAAGGAAGAAGTCTCATTCAGACAGCTTCTTCCCCCAAATTGTTACGTTAAGAAATGTATTCCCGAAATAATATTTACCCGATTACTACAATCGTAAACTCTTCAAGTCTTGAAACAAACATTATTTATCTTAAATATTCCTTTACGCCGTTGCCCCAATCTCGT